GCTGTGTGCTTCTCTACCATCTGCTTTCATACATCAATGTGTCATCTGAAAGAGCTTTTGAAAAAGTGTCAGCATTCAGATAGACGCTCATCTGAAAGCATAAAAAAAAATCACACTGACACTCATTTATTCATCTCGAATGATAAAAGCAAATAAACCAATTTGTGTTTTAAACCTGTGATAAGATATCTAATTCAAACACAATTCTATTTATACAAGGTTTGATGGTACAAAATGACACTAGTGGACTTTGTCCTCACCTATAAACTGTTATCTCTCTGATTTCCTGCAAAGCAAATTTAAGAAAGCTGTGTTTATTTTTGCAATGGGCACAAATACGTAAAGTGATCCGTCTTAATAGACAGTGTATAATTTTTGGAACCATGTCAGAAGTTTGATGAGCAGAGTAGATTAACCTGACGTTTTCTCTAACTGGGCACTAAATCCTACTGAAACTGACATTAATGTGGAATAAAGGTTGAATAAAACCATTGCATAACAGCAGTGAATGGTGATAGCAAACTGGAATGGAAACAGACACAGTTACTAATATTTTAAGCTAACACTTTCTTGAATTCTAAGAGGCAAGTCAACTTGCTTGATTAAGCATACTTCTTTGGAAATATAACTGACTTAATTTGTGAAGTGGTGAAAATGGTTTAACTGTTGGCGTACTGAGACCTGGAATGCTGTTGCAGTTTAAAGGTGCAGTCTTGGTAGCAAAAGGCAAAAAATTCTTTGCCAGGAAAATGTTGCATAAACAATAAAGACTTGACTAATGCACAAATTCCATGATTTATTAAAGTTTTCCAAAAGCATTTTTAGGAAAGCAAACAGCTAAAGCAAAGCTCATTGACACGATCCAGAGTGACAAAAAAGACTGTTTTTGGCTGATTCCTTTGCCATTTGTCAAAACTTTTTAGCAACACATCAAATATAACCAGCACTGCATATAGCAATAGAGGTCTCTAATAGTGCTTTCAACCCAACAGATATTACACAGTGACATGAAAAGGTTGGCTGTTTTAAAATTAGCACAGTGGAAAAATTCACAAATAAAAGCACTTCAGTGTCTTATAAATGGGTGTGGTGGTTAAAAAAAAACGTTTTGGCTGAGAGAAAGCTCATTTGAGCTCATTTAACCTCTTTCAAGCAACGTATGGAAAGCAATTCACGCAGCTTTTTGCGTAAACATGCATAATTCTGTCATCTTTTGGGATATCACATGCTTAATGTCGCAATCATTTTGATTAAAATTAACCTAGATTTTTTCAAATTCAATTGTTTGTACACGTGCACATTTGTTGCTCCGAACAAAATACGCTCATGTGCTTCACATTTTTACTGAACCTTATCTGCCCCTGTTATTTGGACTAATTCTGGGAATGTGCCTCTGATAGCACAGAACATCTACTATCTCAGCTTCACTGACCTAGTTGCAACAGCTCTGGGGGTCTGGCTGCAAAAGAAGCAGCTCTCCTCAAATCAATATTTCACACAATCTGCACACTTACTGCAGTACACTGCATATATGTCTGGAGACCCAATGCAAACAGAACCCGGACCTATATCATTACACATTTGCTGCCAGAGAGATCAATTCGGAAAATGTATTCACAGTCAACTCAGCGCCTGTGCCTTTTTAAATCTACCCAGAGCTCAAGGTTGAGGTGATGTTTCAATTCAATTTAATGCGAAAAATGTATGCACGTGTTCTTGGAAGCGGATATTACTGGTGTCTACAGTAATTTGTCTCTCGCTCATGCCTCTGCCCTACACTGTAAAAAATGTATGTGAAACAAACATTAATAGGCCGTAAAATCATGACATCAAAATCTGTAACAAGAAGAAATATGAATCGGTGTGTATTCCAAAGGAATTTATTGTAAAACACAAAACAATGACTATTGTTCATTTTACAGTCAGTGTATGTGAAAAGGATCATATTAATTTGAAGAATTCATATGTTACTGTACTATAAACATAAACAAATGTAATGTAACTTTTTAAAGAACTGAAACTGAGACCTATAGGCCAGTAGGACTAAAGTCATTGTCAAAAATATATATTTTTACACTAGATTGACAGCTCTCTATGTGTAAATCAGTTCCCTATTTTTTGTATCATATTATAATTATATTAAGGTTATAATACTATTCTATCAGGTATTTAGTGTATTAAGTTTTAGTTTATACATTATGTGTTTAAATGGACAGCCCAGAGGAGACATGGCGGGTAAAAAAAAAAGAGATTAACAAAAAGTAAGTTGAGTAATGTTATTCTATGTTATTGTTATCTCTGCCACAAATGGTCTCTCATCTTTGGGTTTGTGTATATGATATAAAAACAGAAAAAAAGGAATTTGTTTGGCCAGTCAGTCACAATGAAAGCTAAATGACTCACATACTCACAGGCTCTCTCTTTCAGCTGCAAGCCACCGGTGTGATGGCACAAATTCTCTCTGATTGGCTTTGGTTTTGCTTACATCCACGTGTGATCATGTTTTATTCTCTCAGAACTGCAGATCCCTTATCTCCCAAGCTTATCTCTCTTCAAGGACCCACTATTCATTTGATCTCTGGGTGGTGTATATTTTGGCACCATACAAAATCATTTAAATTCCACATAGTAAGCGGAAAGATTTATTTTCATCTGACCTTATTAGCAATATGATGTAAGTATTCTCAAGTCTAGAGCACTAAGCAAGATAGAAAGGTTCAAAATGTTGGGCCTTCTGAAGGTAAATCTTGTGAGATCAGTCATTTCTGTGGGCTCATGCATGCCAGTAGAGTGTGTCCTACTCTAACTGCAGTTTTTCTGTATACTTCCTTTGATTTTGTTTCCATTGACCATCATGCCAGCCAAAATCCCACTTGAATGCCCGGTAACACATTGCTTGGAGCCTCTGATTGCATTCCTGTGCGTCTCATTGGAAAAATGTATGTATACTGGTGCCAAAGTACTTATTTTGCCCAGTTGCATGAATGCTGGCTTTAGCTACATATTTCACTCTCATGTACAAGAAAGCTTTATATATTTTAACCAACAAATTCTCTATAAGAAAAGTATTATGTGTTAAATGCTAATTTAGTTGTGTTGGTGATATTTTAAATCTTTCATGAGAAATGTTGACAGTAATCCACGAGAGCAAAAAGGAATGAATTGCGTTGCATTTACACTCACACATGTCACCGTATTAGTTAACATTCTGTCTAGGTATGCTTTGATTTTTCTTTGTTTTGAATTATGCAGTTCTAGACGTATAGTAAACATGGAAAGGTGGCCTTTTTATTATCGTTCATTTCTTTGTCACTGAACATACTAACAACTGTCCACTAGATGGCAACCTTTACCCAAAAAATGGGCTTCATTCAACCAAACTGTATCAGCCTCGCTGCCCGAGGACATCATTACACACTCAATAAAACAATAGTCAGTCATTTTCTCTGCTAAATTGATCCCACTGCTACACAACAATGGTGGTGTGACATTCTTTACTGCCGCATAAACAGCGGCACGTCTCGGGGTATGATATGTTCTTTGTAATTATCTTGTTGTTGTCGTGCTGTTGCATGACCAACCATCTGTTGACGGCATGTAGGACACTTGTTGGTCAGCGGCAGAGGTCAGCGGTGGCGTCCTCCGAGGGCATCTGAGCGGCTGTGATGGCCCTGTCCTCGTGTGTACCGGGGGCTTGTGAAACACTCGTCTGGAGGGTACGAACACAGCGCACACTTGCCCAATCCGACAGTATTTGAGAACAGATATGAAAATGGACTATTCTGTTATCAAACACGGCAGAGATAAGATTGTGGCTGTTTACCTGGCGAGTTGAGAACACAGCGTTTCCTGCTCTGACCGACACAGAAGCACAACCACACTCCTGCACATGCAGCAGGGAATGCAGTACACGTTACATCAGACATTCTGGGTTTATTTGCTGAACAAACACAACACCTTTGCCTCTTATTATTGTTTACAATTAATCTTAAGAAGTGCTGCAGATTTAAGGCCACAATTTGGACCATTTGCATTCATTTATCTAGAGATCACTGTACTTTAAGTGCTCATTTGGACTTTGCAGAAGAGATCCCCACAATTATAGAAGCAACATACAAAACAGTGACTCAATTCGAAGTCTCAGTATGGAAAATGTGTTGCAAGCAAACTCACATCTACTTTCCATCTCACAAATTAGCACTAGTGACTTCTTATCTTGGTTAAGTGTGTGTTCCTGCCCTCTCCTGCTCTCAGCCACTCCTTGGGTTGTCAGCACGAAAGGGTGGAGCTGACAGAGCCGCACATGTTTCAAGCATGCAGTGAAAACTTCACTCCCTCTCTGTCAGTTTCCCTTTGCTACACTGAATGTGAGCACAGCTAAGCTGAGGAGGAGAAAAGGAGGGACCAGCGTCTGTAACCCTCTGTGCCTTTACCAATCAGAAGGGTTTCCCCTCCCCTCTCTGTCTCCCTCCCTCCCTTTCCGCCCCCTCTCTCTGTCTCTAGGTACGCCAACCCAAAGGAAAAAAAAAAAGCCCAGGGAAAAAAGTGATAAGCAGCAGGCAGCTTCTGGGTTTTGCTTTCAAGCGGACTCCTGCTGAATCGGTGCGAGGGAGTGTGTACATTTGTGTGTGTGTGATGCGTTCACTCTTTCTCCTGCCACTGTAGGAACACATTACAGCAGCGTCGGCCCCGAACAAAAGGCTAAACGCAGCAAAGCCACAGGAGGGGAAACTCAGGGATAGTTGCTGGCAGAGTGGCCCAGCGTGGCTGAACAGCTCAGGGAGGAACTCAGCCTGACATTTAGCCTCTCAGTCCCTGGTGTGGAGGCAGGACGGCACTCTACATTGACCAGGGCCCAGGGCAGAGCTGAGGAGCACACCCTCTTTTTTTTTTTTGACAGCTCGGTCTTTCACTTTCAGCCATTCAGTTTCTGTTATCCTCTACTGAAACTGCTGCACCTGCTCTGAGTGTTTTTGCTCTCCGCACACCTTCCCTCCAAGATGTCAGATGATGACTGCCGCTCTCCGATCGGCCTGGACTGTTGCAGCTGCTGCTTGGACCTGGCCAATGGCTGTGATGACTCCCTGTCCAGCAGTCCATCCCAGGGCCTGGGCTCTACAGCGGGGCTGCCTGCGAGCCCGACCAGCCCCAGCGTCAGCCACTTCCGCCAGCTCCGCAACCAGCTGATGTACCAGAACCTCAACACAGACAAACTGAACAACATCATGAGGCAGGACTCCCTGGAGTCGGTGGTGAGGGACCCATGCTTTCTGCTCAACGAGGGCATCTGCAACAGCAACATCGACCAGACCATGCTGTCCATTCTGCTCTTCTTCCACAGGTATGTCTTTTGTATGCTCACCAGACCTGTTTGGTACATGTTTAACTGAAGATTAAGGACCTTTCCTCATGATGTGAACTTAAATCTTAATAATTCTTAGAATTAAAGAGAAAACAAAGAATTTTGCTTGTTTAGAAAAGCCATAAAATAAATATAGACCAAACAGTTTGGTCTGATTTTGAAACAGGCTGATGCAAGTGTTTATGGCCATGGATTAAGTATAGACCAGAAAAGGGGGAGTTCACTTCGCTGGAATGAGATAAGAGTGTTTGAAAGCACCTCATGTGCTTCACAAGGAAGTGTGGAAACAACAGTAGGATTTTACTGACACATTGTGAGGTTCAGCTGAGTCTCTGTTTATGGCTAGTAAAATAAGCACTGATTTTTATGTGCCGGTTCACACCCTGAAAACTGGGAGAGTGTTTTTCTGCAGCTTTTACACAAAAGTAAAACTGTCACATAGCGAGATCACACGAACACCGCTTTGCCAGCCATTTTCACTTTCTGGAGCCATTCTTATTTCCTCACGACATGAGCCTTATTTTAAAAGAAATAAACACAATGAAAAAACAACAACAATGCCAGCGCCACTTTGCTGTTATGATTCAATTAAAATGATCTTTTGTTGCTTGAGGGTCAATTGACATTGGCTTCCCTCCACCCCCGTCGGTGCCAAAACCTGTTGATAACACAGTGTCTGGCAGCTCACCTCGCAATGTTTGTGCAGAGGGCTATGTTCTTTCACAAGGCTTCAGTCAGTTCGAGAGTTTGTTCAGCAGATTCTGTCAGATGACCTTAGCCTTAAATGAACTCTAACTGTCTTTGCACTCAATCACAGCTTTTTCAGATGATAATCTACCAAACTTTGTTCAAGTCCATGGTATTTGATTGAAAAGGGAAATGTCAAGTCGTATGGGGAAAAGCAACCCTAGTAGCATATATCAGCTGTCATTGTAAGAAAATGTTAAAATAAAGCCAAACTGTTGCTCCACTTTTACCAGTTCTGTTGTGTCCGCGTAGACACATTTTCTCTTTTTTTTTTGTTAGAGTTACTTCCTTCAGATTATTTCCATCTGCTCATTCCCAAACAGTTGAACATGAACACAAGGGGAAGGATGCAGACGGCATTTGGTTATTTGTTTATCTGCTTTTAAAAAAAGAAATTGTACACATTAATCACCAGAGCTGGAAATGCCCCTGTGTCAGCCAACACAAGCCTGAAGAGCAACAATAAAATGACAAGAACTACATAAATACAGGAAGACAGAAAAATAAAGAAAACAAAACAATGGTTAAGATTGTGAGAGAAATAGAAAACAAACATGATTTTAAAGAAATACATGTCTTATGCTTATTCATAATAAATGAGATTTCCATCTGAAAACCAATCAGTTTTGTCTACAATCTATACCAGGTGATTTATGATTTATATGTGGTCGATGAAATATCTTGTTAGTTATTTTCATTGATTAAATTATTTAAAGGTGTTCTCATATCAGTGATGCTCTGGCCAAGAAGCATTATCAGTATTTTATCAGACATCTCAAGAAGCCAAGCTACCACGGAAAATCCAGACACGTTAAATTTTAACTAGTCTATGTGCTATAACAGGGTTCTTATCTCTTACTGTTATGATCTATATTGAGTACAGACTGTACTGTGGGGGCTTAACAATTTACTGGGCTCTGCAACTGATTGGACTGATGACAGTGAATAAACTTTGGCATGGTTGAACTTGATTCTGTTGCTTTGGGCCCGTAAAGTTTCACCTATATGCATGTGTGCATGAATGATAGATACTATCTCACAAGCTGTATAGTACAGAAACACTGACCTCTGTCTCAATAAAACATCACATATCGGCTGTTTGGAGAACATCTACACTGTCTTTATTTATCCATGAGCTCGATTGTGCAACAGCTGTTTAAATATTAATTGATTTTACGCCTTTTCAGGATGTGCTTGCTCCTATCGGAATTGTACAATTCATTAAAAAAGACTCTGCTTTTGACTTTTTTATGATTCTGAAGTTGTGCCATTACCACAACAGCAACAGTTGAAGAAACTTTGGCTTCACAACAACAAATCCAACTCCAGCCCCTGCTTAGTTTCAGCACAAAGACCTTAAACATATGTCTCCTTGCAAAGAGTACTATCGTTTGGGATAATACTTTCAACAAGCCTTTAAACTCCTCAGTTGAGCTGAGCTATTTTTCACTGCATTGCATAAGAAGGCTACTCATTATTCTCCTGCTTTGTAACTCTGAATGAGTCATTTGTAGAAATTACAGGTTTATGTGTTTTTTGCAAAGCTAGACTTTTTTCTGGAATGGGTATAAAATTGCACGGAAAACTCCTTTAAAAAAAGTAGATTCTGAATTTAAATAGTTATTCAACGCTTCAGAAATTCAGTTACTGACTGAAATAAAGAACAGTAAGTACATAAGCCGATATTTGTTTATTAATCGGCTGCCAGGAGCCACTGACCATTGAAGCCATACATCTTTCTGTGCCAGATCAGTTGTTTACCTAATAGGCACCAGAGTCCTTAGTAAGGCGTTTTTTGTCCCTGAACATTTACCTTTGAAAGGGGAATCACAAACATGGATGATGTGTTTCTTTTAACCAAAAAGTCAAGCTTCCCCAATTAAATTAGACTTGGATTTCTTCAAATGTGTACCATTTTTTTGTGTTTTTTCAAACAGAAACACAAATGGACTCATAGTCTTATCCTGTCAGATCCAAAAGTTTGCAAATGTTCATGCATTTCGAAAGTATTACCTTTAGGGAAGTCTGGCCTCCGATGAAAGCCTGGCTGAGGTGTAAAAGGTGACCTCACACCAGGTGGTTAGTCTGCCCAGAAGCTATTTTTCTTATTTGCCACTTGTTAACATAATAAAATGCTAAGCAGAGCGTGTTGCAGTGGAAGCTAGTTGAACGATTCAGGAGTGAAGAAAAAACTCTGGGGGGAGAATCTGAAGTCCGATTCCATGTCAGAAAGGCCTGAGGTGGAAATGTGATGGTTCACTTTGAGGCTTTTTCAGTTGGCTGGAACAAAAAAGGGTATGCATACACACTGTAACCACAGGTGTTCAGTCTGGACTTAGCAGCCACTACTTTTACCATGGGCAGGGGTGAAGAGGGGTTAAGAACCAGAAGCGATCACACAGACATTCATCAAAAGACTTCAGGTCAGTGAACAGTCCGTCAGGAAGCTGTCAAAACACAAAGAAGTAGAAACTTCTAAAAAAACATCACAGTGTAGAACACATGACAGTGCCAAAGACTTTGGAAATCAGTTTTTCTTTTGTGAATATGACAGTGAGTCAGCACTGAGGAGCTTCAAATTCAGTACTGTAAGGAGTGGAAATGTCAAATACATATGATAACGTCTCCTGGTGAGCAGAGCAGGCAAGAGGCTGTACGGCTTGTGTATGATTGAAACTTAGATCTATGGTTCTGGTCTGTTGACCAAAAAAAGAGAATTTTCTGGCTTGGTTGGGAAAGGCTGTGATGCAATTACAGTAAATTTGGTCCGAGAGGATTGAAGGTCGACAGGCACTAAATTGGGCTTTTATATAATTACTGACTCTCAACTTCATCTACAATTTTGTAGACCTTATGACCTGGTCCTTAGTATATGCATTTTGTCATGGTCTAGCTGACTTCTGAACATAACAGACCTCTCACTGGTCTTTGGAGAAAGGATCCTAGAACTTTATAGCTTTAAAGCCCCACTGATCCAAATAGAAACTCCACAGTTTTGAAGTCAAGGACTATATTTAGTGAAATTGTAACATACAATTGCCATCTATAATCAGTCAACAGGTCTATACAAATAAATAACAATCCATAACAATACAAAAACCATACAGAAACCCAAAGAAAGGTCTTATTTTAGCACATCTCTGCAAAATGTGTATATTTTAATGCAAGAACATCAATGCGTTAAAGGTTTTGACGGTACAATAACAATTAAATAGCTTCTATGCCCATTCATTTAATGTCTATAAAGGTCAATACTGAAAAGTCTCTTATCTGAGACATTACAGCTGAATAGAGTTCTTGTGCCTGCTCTGGTCATTGAGGGCGAATAATTTGCATAGAGAGCGACACACACTTTTGAAGAACTCCCTCTGATAACAGTTTAATCTCAGGCTCTGCATGCTTCTATTGTGCACTCACTCTGCTTTCCAAAACATTTCTGTTCATATGTAGGTTTCTATAACACATACATATCTGCATTACAAATAGTTTAGGGTCTTGACAGGAGGACCTTATATTCAGGATCATATTTGAACTTTTCTATATGCCAAGTCGACTGTTATTTATGTACCTAATAATAAATAGCACTATTTTGCCTTTAAGGGCATGCAGTATGTAACATTAGGAAACAATTACATCTGCCTATTGACTCTTGCAGCTGGTTGTTCAACATTATTGCAAGTGTACAGTTGAGTCAGGACTGTGTTTGCCCGGTTCAATTTAATGTAATGAAAAGTTTTTTCCAGAGACAAAATCACGCTCATCACAAAGAGCTCAATTATATTACGAGCTGCAACAGGCACAATGGAGAAAATGAACTTATTGCATTGATGTTAAGACTCATATTTTAAATCTCAAGGCCAAAGAGAAACTCTCATGAAAGCTAATTTAGAGTCCCACAAATAGTCACTACAGTAAGAAGGGGGAAAATTCAACTACCCCAACATTGACCACATAAAAGACTAATAAATGCAACACATTGGCCCTGACCACAAAACTTTCCCAATAACACTTTTTTTTATCCATGCATCTGTTTTGAACAATACAAACCACAAAACAAGTGAGTTGACAATCTCCCATAAAACAGAAAAAAGACTTGGATGGAGTGCACTCTAAATTCATGAACTATATGTGGTAAGGGTAGAACAAAGGACTTGTTTCCATTTGATCAATTCAACTTAAATTATTATTCAACAGTCAAATTTTTAAGATAACTGCAACCTGTGGACTTGAAATTGCGTGTTTTATAAATAAAACATTTAGAAAATATTCACTCACATAAGG